AACATCGTACTGGTAAAGTACAGCCACAATGCACACACACACACACGACTGACTGGGTTTTCAATCATGTGTGGAGGTGTGGTTGAAACTGCAGTTGAGCCAAGACGAAAAACTGGGGTTCAAAGACTTCCTTATTCATATATTGTTACATGACTTTCCATTCAGAAGGAAAAGTTGGTTGGAAGGAGTTACTGATTCGGTATCACCGGAAACCGAAGGAGGATTGCCGCGTAGGGAAGACTGTTGAATTGTCCGAAGAAGTCCTCGGCTCACCGTCCTGCGAACCCGATCAACATGTCCTAAGCTGTGGCAGACACCTTTATGGACAAAATCTTTACTTGACGAAATAGGACAAAAATATACTAAAGCAAGAGAAAAAGTAGCGGTACAGAGGAGAGCTTAGGACAGGTTGTTCGAGTTTGCAGGACGGTGAGCCGAGGACTTGTTTGCACAATACAGCAGTCTTCCCTACGCTGCAATCCTCCTTCGGTTTCCAGTTTGACCACATAATGAATTCCTTCCAACCAACTTTTCCTTCAAAATGGAAAGTGAGATTACAAAAATATAATGACCCAATCCAGGTCGCTTAAGCCTACTTATACCAAAGGTAAGTAGCGTCGTCGATTTCGATGGTAAAGAAATGTTTGCTTAATTGACAATCCTTCGATAAATGTGACTTGGATGAGGCCTGACTTGCCTTGAATGTCACATTTGTCCCGTGAATTTCCGGCACCCTTGGTTACAAAGTGAAGTGATAACGTCGCCAGGATACCACCGATCCGGTACCGAATCCCGTTGGGGGTGCTGATAGGACTGTAGTTCGAAACCCGAGCTAATTGTCTTAAAGGGCCCACGAACAGTGATAACTGGGCTGTGATTAGAAAGTTTTAGTAAAGCAAAGATGATTGAGAGTCAATTGGACATCAAAGGGTAGTTGATGTCTGGCGCAACAAGTTGAAGAATCATGCGCGTGGCCGGCGAAAGTAGAGCAGAAGAGTGAACTTGATGCAGTGCTTCGTGTTATCTGGCCTCTCATGGCTCGGTAACTGTGCAATTTTCTCGGTTGCCGGAGCCTCCGGGACGATAAGTTTGCTGGGGGACGCAGCTGAGGCGGCTCGGAGTGAGTGGACGAGAAGATGAAGGTGAAGGTGAAGGTGAAGGTAAAGTTGAAGTTGAAGTTGGAGCCTGTAATTAAATTGAAAATGAAGCTAAAGTTAAAACTGAGACTGAAGGTGAAGCTGGAGGTAGTCGGAAGGTGAGGCGGAAGATGAGGGTAATTCTGAAGCTTAAGGTAAAATGGAATTTGAAGTTGAAGTTAAACATGAAGGCAATCTTGGGATGAAGTTGAAGATGAAAGCAATGCTGGAGGTGAAGATGAAGTCTAGACTACATTGAAGGATAGAGCTGCATCTATTCTGGAGGTGGGACTATAGCGGAGGGTGAAAATGAAACGAAAGCTGAAACTTGGGGTGAAGGTCAAGGCAAGGTTGAGGTTGCAACTAACCCTGAAGTTAAAGCTAAATGTACCCTGAACGTGGAACTGAAGTCGAAGCGGAAGGTGAAGTTGAAGCGTACTGTGA